TTAGGGCTGCCACGGTGCCTCTCTGAAACGGGCCTCTTTGGAAGGAACACACTACAGCTGCCGTTGCAATCAATCAGTTTGGGATACATGCAGGAAAAGACCAGGCTTGTCCTCGAGTTGAGAGAGTCCACCGACCAGACTGTACGGAATGCAAATGTCAAGGTTCCCACAGGCCGGAAGTGGAACGCCAAAACCTAAGTCGACCAAGCCATTGGTCGACTGCAACACCAAGAGATTGTCGGCAGAGTCCAGGCAGGAAGAGCAGGACTAGGGTGGGGGGAAGCGCCACGGTTCTGGTCTAAGGCCAACCGTAAAGAGAGGAAGGAGATGGTTGTGGCGGAGGTGACAAGGACGGAGGAAGAGCGCTACAAGATCAAGGCCGTGTCGCAGGGCCGACAGGGTAGCTGGACAACCTGGGAAGGAGTAGCCAACAGAAACATCAGGTGGGCAGACCTATGGAAGATCCCACAGGCAAGACTCAGCTTCCTTGTCCGCTCAACCTACGACACGCTTCCCTGTCCGCGGAACCTTCACCAGTGGTTCGGGAGTGAGGAGAGCTGCCCACTCTGCAGTGCGCCTAACGCAAGCCTTCAGCACATCTTGTCAGGCTGCAAGATCGCACTCTCCCAAGGACGCTACAGTTGGCGCCACGACCAGGGGCCTCATGTATCAACGTGTGGCAGGCAGCACCTTGCTGCTATTGAATGCAGCTCTCCCTCCTCCTCTAACCCCTCCCTTCCCCTAATCAGGTCAGCTGAACAAAAGGCAGCAGCTCACCTGCAGTCGGCCTTCTGATCTGCTCAGAGTGCTGGTGAGTAGGGTGGCTGGTAACTTTTTAATCTTTAGAGTTTTATGATTGCTTTTAACAGCATGTCCTTTTTGTTTGTAGGTGGTAGACCTGCTGCTGTTTTGTTGCCCCCATTAATTGTAGTTATTTTTGCCTGTTTACTTTGATTGTTTCTGCCCTTTTGATTGGTTTCCCCCCTTACTTGGTTTGTTTCTACCTTTAAGTTTGGTTGTTTTACACAGTTACTCCCCCATTAGTTTGCATTCTGTTCTTAGTTACCCTTAGTTGCTTTTCTCCTTAGTTCCCTCTAGTTTTACCAACTGGGTTCGCTGGTTTGTTTGTTTGTTTCTTTGGTTAATCCTTTTATTTTATTTCAGAGGTTGAGCCCACTAGTTTGGGAGGCTAGGCACCCCGGGTGAGGGCCCTCCACCTTTGCATGAGTTTGGCACCGGGTCACAAGACTACACCGATTTTGTTTCTTTTGTTGAAGGTTTGCAGTGTGTGTGCTGTGCTTCACTTGGTGAGTATAAAGGAGCACCCCCCTGCACTTTCCCTCTGTAGTCTGCCTCCCTTCTGGTGGCCTCAGCTTATCTTAAGTTAACTTAGTTTGGGTTTCTTTGATTTAGTTTAAGTTGGGGTTATTGTACTTTTTAACTTTTGTAGAAGGCCTTGTTTTAAATTTTATTATAGAAATAAAATTAACTTTCTTGCCCCTTATCTGTGTTTTGTTATGTTGTTTTAACTTTATCCCTTTCTTTCCCTCCTAGGTTAAAATTCTCAGTTATATTTACGTTTAACTTCATTTTTTTTGATCTAATAAACATTTTGAAATATTTTGAACTCTGTCTCTGCCTCTTCAGAACTTACCTGTGTTGCCTTTATTCTTATTTTAGCTTCCTGTTTTAGTTTGAAAGTTCAGTTTCCTGGGGTGCAAGTCCCCAGGTGGCGTTGCTGGTTGGAGACAATATTCTCTTTTTTTGAATAAAATAGCGCCCCCCCCTTGCCACAAACGCTTGCGGCGCAAGAAAACCTTGCGTACACCAAAATCGGCGCACACGTCCAGATTTATCATCGCGAAACGAGCGTCGGTTCCAGCGCTAATCAACGCAAAGTCAGGAGGTGGTGTAGAAATTGGCGTTGAGCCGATACTTGCGTTGACTGTGATTCGCACTTTGGCGACGCTGTGTGGCGGTGTTTGGTGACTCACTATGTGACAAGCGTGCACCACATCCCCGTGGCCGAGCAGCACGTCGCCCCACATGACGAACCAGCAGCAGACGGAGGGATGCGAGCTGATCCCTGCCGGGCCGCCGTCCTCGCGCGGGAGAATCTCATCGCCACAGTGTGAATGGGTAAGAAGTGAATACACATTTCAATGAGCCAAAATAATTTATTTTCTCCACCAGACGCTCGAGGACATTTACGAGCCGGTCCAGCCGCTCGTTGATCCCCGCGATCCCCCTGATGATTTCTTCCTGCGATTGCAGGACCCCCTCCGCGAGGACCCTTCCACTGCGTCCGGGTGGTCCAGCGGAAGCGCTGCGGCTGGTGGACGCTCCACCGCTTGTCGGCGCGCTGATGCTGATGCTGATGCTGGTGCTGGTGCTGGGGCCGGGGGCTGGGGTGGCCCGAATGCCGCTGGTCCTGGCCGACGACTCCGAGCCGGCGGACGGGCTGCCGCGGGCCGGGGTTCCGCAAGCCGGCGACACGGCCGACACATTGATTTCTGTGACACAATAAAAATATTTGTTCATTTCAATTCCTGCTTTTGTGTATCTGTTGCGTTTACATCTCTCTCCACGGTATCATAGGTAATGTAATCCAGTATTTCGAGGTCAGTTATGCACATTACGGTTGTTTATTGCATAAAAAGTTATCGAAAAAATGAAGTTAAGGGCGAAGTATAAATCACGTCTAAAAATAGACTGAATCCCGGCGTTGAAATGAAGTATAAGCTTAGACTAGATGTCTAATATACGTCTTTTGCTCAGTGGGATGGCAAAGCATGTGGACATTTGTGTGACACGCCACTTACCCTATAATAATAATCGCCACCACCCGCTGCTCAAACGGTGTGAGGGTCTCCTCGCCCGGACCCCCACCTGTCTGGCCGGTACTCCTCCGGAGGGCAGCTGTACGCCGCTTGACCTCCACCTTGAGGTCCGACCACTTTATTTTAATCTCCGCGGGGGTGCGTGTCTCGCAACCCACCGCATTCACCCTCTCGCAAACTTTCTCCCACTCCAAGCATTTTCGTTTTGCACTGACGCCACTGGACAGGCTGCCAAACAAAACAGGCTGTCGCTCCTCCACCTCCGCCACCAGCACCTCCACCTCACACGCCGTAAATTTAGTTTTTCTTGTCATTTTGTCTGCGTGCGAGGACAGGGAGACCCGATTTAAATAAATCTGCATATTTATAGGAGGGCGTAACGGGGGCTGGCCCAGTCACTCCGACATCTGCGCTCAATTCCACGCTGATTGGGATTTATCAAGGAAACACACGTGGATTTCGGCGCCCGCACACATTGATACATACAGATTTTTTTCAGCGTGACGGACCTTGCGTGCGCTCGTTTCTGGTATGAGTTCCACGCAAGTATTGATACATGAGGCCCCTGGTCCTGAGGAAGCTGGCTGAGGTGCTTGAGGGGCAGCGACAGGGCAGCAAAGGGTCACCACCAGTAGGGAACCACATCGGCTTTGTTACTGAAGGCGGGGGAAGAAGAAACACCAGGCCAAGGGAAACATCCAGGCCGTTTGCCCCCGACCAGGAGTGGGACATGAGGGTCGACCTAGACAGGCATATCCGCTTTCCCATTGAGATTACCACCACATCTCTCCGGCCCGACATAGTGATGTGGTCCACCAAGGCGAAATCCGTACACCTCATCGAGCTCACGGTGCCAATGTAGGAGGGGATTGAGGCCGCCTTTGAACGGAAGAAGGCCAAGTACTCCAACCTTGCCGCTGAGTGCCGGGAGGCTGGCTGGAGGACCACCATCTATCCAGTGGAGGTTGGATGCCGAGGCTTTGTGGGGATGTCAACCATACGCCTCTTGAAGGACACAGGAGTGACCGGAGGAAACCTCAAGAAAGCAACCAAAGAGCTTGCAGAGGAGGCTGAGAAGGGGAGCTTTTGGCTTTGGCTGAGGAGGAAGGACAAGTGCTGGGGAAAGAACACCTAACCCCAACAACAGCAACAGGGGGTAACATCTATCAGTCAGGCCCGTCAGCTGCAGGGGGTGACAGGGAGACGTCCCTGTCACTGCTCCGCCACCAGGAAACGTTCCAGGATTAAAGGAGCGAAACGTTGGTGAATGGTGGTTCCTGGCTGATGACCCTGCAGCTGACCCACGGACACCGGAGGAGGTGCGACCGGCAGCAATGCTTAGCAGGTGATTCCATCTTCCTGTACATTTACTACTACTAACAACCAGTTCATCTCGCCCCACTCGCCTCAGAAGTTTTCTACTTTTACATATTCTTGCGGGAGTTTTTCAATTGACTTTGCTCCCACAGATACTGTATTTAGCTCCAGAAATAAAATGCTAGCATGTGTTTACAGACTCCAGAGGTTAATTAGGGTTAATTTCACTAGCTTTTGTCATAAGCACTTGAAAACGTGTCTCTGTTAAGTAAGCTCAAGCTTTCTTGTCTTTTCTTTGTCCTGAAGGCGTCAGCTGAAAGGCAGAAGGGTCATGTCGGCAATACACAGCAAAAAAATCTCATCTCTGAACTTTCAGAAATGTTTGGTGAAATGTGGCTTGTGCAGATGTTACAACGCTACTCGCTCACAAAATGACAAAGCCAAGCTGCTTTCAAACTTGTTTAATTTGAAAACATTAACAAAAGGCTACTAACTTGTTTCCAAGAAATGCAGTTAAACTAGCAAAACGACTATTCATGGTTCTCTATTTGCCCTCAAATGAAGGGAGGCCTGAAGGCAAATGCTGAATACTCTCAGTTGAATACTTTTGAAATGTATCTCAGTCTTACAAGTTGACACTGTCATCACTTTTTTTCACCTTTTTGCCTTAACAACTACCCTTCCCTGTATTGCAGCTTCAACACACTCAAAACTCTCATTTAGTCATTTTGAAAGAAAATACTTAGAAAAGCAATTATTTTCAAAGACAGATGAGTTTTGGTAATGCTTTTTTTATTTTAAAAGCACCACAAGGAGACAACAGAAGGGAGCAGCTCTCCTTTTTTAGTAGAGTCTCCTGGAACTGCTTGTTGTTGAGACAGAGGACTTGGTGACAGAGCCACCGCCAACACCATAACCGCCCATACCACCACCGTAGCCAAATCCGCCACTGGAGCTGGCATTGGAGAATCCTAAGGAGAAAGAAATACAAGTAAGTGTTATCAGTCATCCCTTTATCTGTCAGTGGGGTCTCATAATTCAGTATTAGATACAGTATGTTGATGATAATGTGTAGACTCTAAATCCTACCTCCAGAGCTCTGCTGGACATGGATGGTTGCAGCTGCTCCTCCACTGGCCAACCTAAAGGATGATAAACACAAAGTTAATCTTCTATAAGAGTTGATACAAATACTGCAACTATGAAACTACAAAAATTCAGAAGTTTATCTGACCTGCTCTCCTCTCCTTCCAGCAGTTTCCTGTAGGTGGCGATTTCAATGTCCAGGGCCAGCTTGACATTCATCAGTTCCTGGTATTCACGCACCTGGCGGGCCATGTCCTGCTTGGCTCTCTGCAGAGCATCCTCCAGGTCCTTGATACGGAGCTTGGCATCCTTGACAGCAAGCTCACCACGGCCCTCGGCATCAGCAATTTGAGTCTCAAGGCTGGCTCTCTGTAAAGGTTGATATTATAATTATAACTAAAAATCAGTTTAAACAACAAAGACTTCTCTCATCGTCTATTCTTGACATTCACCTGTGCTTTGACGGCATCAATCTCATTCTGAAGACGGGCAATCATACGGTTCAACTCAGCAATCTCAGTTTTAGTTGTGCGCAGGTCATCACCGTATTGTCCAGCAGAGCTCTGCATCTCCTCATACTGTTTTGAAAAACATGACAGATTGCGTTAACCTCATGATCCTAAAAGTCTGGTTGGATTTTAATGTTTATGCTGATGACATAAAGCATGGTTGTCTTTATTGTTATACTCACCTTCTGTTTGTACCAGGACTCTGCATCAGCCTTGCTTTTGTTGGCGATGTCTTCATACTGAGCGCGCACCTCAGCCACGATAGAATCCATGTCCAGGTTACGGCTGTTGTCCATCTCCACAATGACAGAGGTGTCCTTAATCTGGCCTTGCAGCTCACGGAGTTCCTACAGAACAAACAATTGTTGCACCATTAAACCCATATTATTGACAAGTTGTAGTATACTGTTAAACAGTGGATAAAATAAACATTAGAAATACATACGGCTTCGTAAACAGCTCTGAGGAAGTTGATCTCATCTTGAAGAGCATCAACTCTGGCCTCCAGCTCCACCTTGTCCATGTAGGCAGCATCAACATCCTGGAAAATAAAATTATGTTTAAACACAAAGCATTATAACAGTTATAACTGCATAAATGTTTTTTAGGGTTTAACAAAATTATCCATGCCTTCTTCATCAGGACAAATTCATTCTCAGCAGATGCACGTTTGTTGATCTCATCTTCATACCTGCAAAAACACAAAAAAGGCCTTACTTAGTACATGGGCTTTATTCTATAAACTGCTCACCACATGAGCTGTAAATATCTTGATTGTTAACCGTGATCATGCCATGCACTTACTTTCTCTTGAAGTCCTCAACCAGGATCTGCATGTTTCTTTGCTCTCCCTCCAGCTTAGTCTTCTCATTGGCGAGCCCATCAAGCTGTCTGCGCAGGTTGGCGATGTAGGCCTCGAACATGCCCTCAATGTTGGAGCGGGTGGTAGTCTGGTCCTGCAGGAGGTTCCATTTGGTCTCCAGCATCTTGTTCTGCTGCTCCAGGAAACGGACCTGTGGAGACACAACACCAAGAGCAAGATAGTCAGAGGTCATTTTGAAAAAGCATTCTCTCTGTTAAGTATAAAGTGTATACAAGCAACAACCAATTATTCTGGGACTTTCACATTACAGGCTTTGGGCACAGTTTTTTCAGGCCACCAGGTAAGGAACAGGTAAGCCACTGCAACTACATTCCTACTTATGATTGCGTAATGAGCAGAAAGGCCACCATCTCTGAACTCTGATCTAAGATATCTTTAGATAAAGTTACCAGTTTCCTCAAGAGTTATTCCGAATTTTATCCCCATGATTCCTTTTTCTACAGACTCAAGTTTAAACTTTAAATCTGTTTTCAATGTCAAATGAAATGACTGTGTAAAGCTGCTACATGTGAACTATTACCAGAAAAAGCTTGCAGATATTTACTGAGACCTAAATTAGTGTGTACTCAAGACAAGACACGCAAGAATAACACACGAACAAACCTTGTCGATGAAGGAGGCGAAGCGGTTGTTGAGGGTCTTGATCTGGTCCTTCTCCTGGGTGCGGACGACACTGATGGTGGGGTCAATCTCCAGATTGAGAGGGGCCAGCAGGCTCTTGTTCACCTGGACAGCAGTGATTGGTGGTGCGATGTAGCAGCCAGCTTGTTGGCCAGAGGAAAATTCATACCCAGCAGAGCTTCCACCGATCATGGACATACCAGAACCAACCATGGACATACTAGAGCCAACACTGGGAGCAGTCCCAAAGCTGGTCCTCTTGACAGAGTAGCTGCTTCCTGGCCCTGCAAAGGACCTCCTGCTGCTGCCACTGGAGCTGGTGACGGAGTATGCCTTTCTCATCATCATGTTTGCTGCGGTGGAGGTTGTAGACTCTGAGCAGAGAGCTGGAGCTTTGCAGGTGTCCAAAGGAGAGCTAAGTCCCACTGTGTGTCTCAGTACAGACTCTGCTGGCTTTTATAGCTGACACAGGGTGGGGTCGGGGGCCACTCTAACCTGTAATGTCACTTTCGGTGTCCACTCTCTCTCCACCTTAGCCTTTACACTGCTGTGACTGACTGATAAGAGTGCTTAATCCTGAAAAACAGGTAAGGAGGTTTTTTCAGAGGATAAGCCTAGACACACCCTGCCCCAGCATAGCTTAAAACCAGTATTTTATGTGTTATTTATTTATATTAAAGGGAGAAACCTTAAAAGCTTTGTGGGATCTGTATTTGAACATTTTTCAGCAATAATGACTTCACATACCAGAACAGGAATACTCTGACCCAAAAGAATAAACAACACAGTCTGTAGCTATCCTTGGCCCTGAATAAGCCTGTATAAAAGTTATGCAATATAAGTGTTATGTAGACAGAGCAGGTTGTTTGAGAAGATAGGAATTCTGACAAGGTAAGCAGGACCCCAACACAAAGCACAACAGCACTCTCACTTTATTTTACACTGCTTGTTACATTGGTATTGGAATGCAGATCATTTTGATTTGGAATCGATTTTAATTGTATAAAATGCTACTCCCCCATCCATGCATGGTATTTGAATCTTCCTCAAAGTAAGATAGACACCTTGCAGATGCTAGTTGCAAAAGAACTGGAACTAAAGATTGTCGTAAGGAATGACAACCCTATCAGGATCAGCATAACACTGTACTGTGGCGTAGCAGCAGGTTCATATGCTTTGAGCATGGTAAAATCACCTAATCCATAATTGAATGGATCATAACATGATCCTTTCAACTAAGGATTTAGGCCAGAGATGGCCAGCATTATCAAGAGATGATTTAGGCCAAAAACTCATTTTCGTCAAAAAATGACAGGCTATTATTTTATTATTTTATAGTCTTTCAATATTGGTCAAGAATTTTCCATTTTGTACCTTGTTTAGTCAACTTTGGTAACTTATTTATTGATTTATTTAGATGTGTTTAACCAGGAATAAAACCTCATTGAGATTAAATAACCTCATTTACAAAAGTGCCCTGGCAAATACAGGCAGCAGCAAAATTAACAGAATTACAGACATAAAACAGAACAGATATAAACACACATCAACTAATCCTGAGTCACGTGACACAAAGTCATTTGTCAAAACATCTACAACCAAAAGAATCATCTTCCAACGCTTTTAATTTACATTTAACAAGAATTAAAACCTGTACCTACCCTGCAACTTGGGCTGAGTTACAGGATATTGGTCAGTTTAACAACCAGTTCATCTTGCCCCACTCGCCTCAGAAGTTTTCTACTTTTACATATTCTTGCGGGAGTTTTTCAATTGACTTTGCTCCCACAGATACTGTATTTAGCTCCAGAAAAAAAAATGCTAGCATGTGTTTACAGACTCCAGAGGTTAATTAGGGTTAATTTCACTAGCTTTTGTCATAAGCACTTGAAAACGTGTCTATGTTAAGTAAGCTCAAGCTTTCTTGTCTTTTCTTTGTCCTGAAGGCGTCAGCTGAAAGGCAGAAGGGTCATGTCGGCAATACACAGCAGAAAAATCTCATCTTTGAACTTTCAGAAATGTTGGGTGAAATGTGGCTTGTGCAGATGTTACAACGCTACTCGATCACGAAATGACAAAGCCAAGCTGCTTTCAAACTGGTCGATTTAGAAAACATTAACAACAGGCCACTAACTTGTTTCCAAGAAATGCAGTTAAACTAGCAAAACGACTATTCATGGTTCTCTATTTGCCCTCAAATGAAGGGAGGCCTGAAGGCAAATGCTGAATACTCTCAGTTGAATACTTTTGAAATGTATCTCAGTCTTACAAGTTTCTCCAGAATTAGCTATCACATCTTGTACTGAAACAAAGATTATGTCATTATATCGAGATTGAAGAGGGCCTTACATTTCAGTCATGACACAAATTTAGCCCTAAGTTAGTAACTAATCTATGATTTAGTTCATGTCCTCATTCACAATCCATTTTAGCCTGTCCCATAAGCTGTATTTGGTGCAGTATTTTGCATTGGCATACTTTTCACCATACCAGAAAAGACATTAGTACTTCTTGCTAAAGTGAACTAAATATTTCATGCATCAAAGTGGTTAGAGTGTTTTGGCTTTTCATGGAAGTCTGTTACTACTTTTCTTTTTTGTATAGACTGTTGAAGCCAGTGTTGGGAAAATTGCTTTAAAAAAGTAATCGATTATAGTTACTAGTTACTGTCCAAAAAAAGTAATTGACTTAGTAAGTGGATTACTCCTCCATAAATGCAATTAGTCACCATGGAAAAGTCATTATTGTGTATATTGCAGAAAGCTTTATTTTTTCTTCTCCCTTTTCTCTTTTCAAATTTTTTTTTCTTAATTATTACATTTATTAAGTTCTTAATATTAGGACCCTTATTGTTATAACTGCATTTTGCACTTTCTGTCTTGTCTGTGATGCTGCTGTGACAAAAAAATTTCCCCCATGGGGGATAAATAAAGGAATATTCTATTCTATTCTATTCTATTCTAGTTACTAGTTACTGTCCAAAAAAAGTAATTGTTGAGGACCTCAAACCACAACTGGGTCACCAGTTCATACGTTGAGGACCTCAAACGTTGAGGACCTCAAAACACGTAACTGGTAGACATACTGTAGGCCCAAATTTAAGTAAAAGTTTTAACAATAAGTGCTTTTAAAATAGAACTGAAAAGTAAGACTTGGACAAATCCAACATTACCTGCTAAACATTCACTCACTCATTCATCATACCACCGTCCATATCCTCTGAAAACTGACGTTTGTTAGAATAGCAGCTCTCTGTGATAGTTAGCGCGCGTGTGTGTGTGTGTGTGTGTGTGTGTGTGTGTGTGTGTGTGTGTGTGTGTGTGTGTGTGTGTGTGTGTGTTTCGTTCTTGATACTCATACTAGCCATTCAGCAAGTGATTGTATCTTAAAAGCAGCAGCTTCTCAAACTTTTGGTCAGACAGGCTGTTTCTCTTTGGAGTGAAGACGAGCTCCCCCAGGCTAATCAGTCCTGACTGAGCGAGTCAGGTCGAATAACAGCTGTTGGATATCAGAGCACAATAATGCAACACATTTCACTATCGTTAACAGTATTATAACGTTTGAAATACTAATTAATTAGATTGTCTGTTACTGGAAAACAATAACAGCATAACGCTGAAATTTTCAACACTGTTATTCTCAACACTGGTTATGGCTGACTTTTATACCGGGTTCCTAATTTTATTCATTACGCTGAATTAGCAGCCATTTTGTATGCACTTGAAGTAGACACACAAATCGACCATGTCATTCTATCTGGATGTTTTAAAAAAAAGCAGATTGAAGATATCTGAGGAAGATGCATCAGGCTGTAGATGCCTTCAATGATTTTTTTTTTTTACTCCTGTGTTTTTAAGGGAAATGTTGGCATGTGTTGTGTAATTATTATGTGATTGTATGTCTGTAGTTTTGCTGGAATGCGTTGTTGCAAGTCTTGGCCAACGCACTCTTTTAAAAGATATTTTTAATCTCAAAGACTCTTAATCACTCTTGGTAAAATTATTGAAATAAATGTATAAAGTTGTTGGTCATATATGTATTAAATGTATGACCTTATTTCTTCCCTTATTTGTCCTGTTTCCTGTCATTGCTGACCTTATTCATTCATCCATGTTGTGTGATCATTTAACTCTCAATCATTGCTGACCCAATTTGTTAATTCCATGACTTTTTTGTATAAATCCTTTTGTTTAAGGCTGTTGCTTATAGAGTTAACTAACCTTGTTCCGGCAGTTTAAAGTAATTGCTAAACTCCTAAGGTCGTCTAACCTTTGAGTCTAATTCATTCACTTTCCCTCAGGACCTGTCAGTCACGTTATTGACGACAGTATGTGCCTTTAGGGGTGAAAGCCATCTTCTCTGTATTTCTGGTGTGACCTGTGGAACAGTGCTAAATGACTTCCAGCCAAAACTTCCATTTCTGTTAGCTTTGCTGGTTACAACTTTGCTCAAAAGAACAACAGTTTTTTTTTTTTTTTCCCAACCACTCTTCGTTACTTTGTGGAATTGCACGAGACATCTGAATCTGTGTTTTGTCGTCCCACAATACTTGATTGTAACTTATACTTACTGTGTCAGGAGGAGGGTGAGGTTTCTTGAACTGGCCAGTTCTGTATATGAATTTTGTATGGAGCAGTGAGTACTTTGTGTTTGATGCAGTTTCACAAAACAACATGCCTGCTGGTGGCATCCACCAAAGTGTCTTTGAACAAACTTGAGCCTGTGTGACCAGAGTGTTACATTTGTTAGGTCTCATACTGTCAGCTACCAGTGTCCCCCCCCCACCCCCCCACCCCCACCCCCACCCCCACACACACACACACACACTTGTACAGTGAATTGCTTCTTCTCTTCATTTGGAATGTTTTTATTAATTTTTTATATCAAAGTCTTGTCTTACACAGGTTCTACATTTTTATGTAGAATCTGTAGTCAGAAACTATTACTGACCCAAATCATTTCGCTCTCAGTCTTTGTTTATCGTTTTCTTTTTCTTTTAGCCATAAGCTATTGCTTCTTGACTTGACTTTATGCATTTGCTATTTCACACTTTCTGACCTTTTTACTTTTATAAAAATGTGGTCACCATATTGTGAAAAGACAATATGAACTATACTTTGGTGACCATAATTTGATCACCCAAAACCAGGACACTCTCTACTTTGAGGTGCCTTATTATCTCAATACATTTAAAGACTGCCACTTCTGTACTGATAGAAATTGTCATACTACTTAATACCGTCTATAACCAAAGATGCAAATTCAGATAGTCTTCTCAGAGGTTATTTGACATGTTTTGTTCTGACAAGTTTCAAAAATAACAATTGAAAAAAATGATAGACATACTGGGCTCTAGTTTCGTGTCCGCTGGGGATGCGGCAGAGGGTGGCGGACCCCACGCAGTGGTATTTTCGTCTGGAGGAGCCCGGCGTAAAGCCAGTTTGGTATTTTCATGGACTGAGGCGCATCGAGGTCCGCCAAGCTGGGCGTGGCAGGGGGAGGCAGGGGGAGATGTCGACAGAATCAGCTGGCATAGTGACATTTTTGTGCTCACTGCCGGCGTGTAAAGTGCGCTGAAAGCTCGCCGATTCAAACCTGGTCAGCTTTCAGTGCAGGCGGAGCGCAGCTGGTCTAGTGGTATTTTGGTAGACTGGTGGCGTATCAGCATAAGTCACCGATACCTCACCGGCAGGTTTCCACAGTGTCAGGCACATTTCAGTGCAATAAATAATCACCAACAACTAATAATCTGAGTCAGCACATACATTTAGATCTATATAGAATATTCTGATCTATATCTGACCTGATGAGTGCATTTGGCACGCGTTTGGAAACTTAACCTGACTGAATTAACACAGCTGAAACCACATTAAATTAAATTAAATATCTAGTAAATAAACACACATGATGAAGTTAACAAGATATGTGATTCATCTCCCTCCTTTTCTTTCTTCCTCTTCCTCTTATTTCTTGCGCAGCTCCACCTGGACACGTCTTCGTGTCCTCTCCCTGTCCTGCTGCAGCTGCTGCTGTGGCGGCTGAACAGATGATTTGTTTCAGTGATCAGATGAGTTATTTACTTTAAGCCTACATACAAATATAATAATATTCAGTTTTGTGAACCAAATTTATTTTATATGCCAACATCTATGAAAGAAAGAGCCAGGCCACGGAGCGGGATGCGTCATTTATGCACAGATGGTTCCGATTTTAATGCCATTTTTGGAGTTTATGTTGTGATCTGTGCGCACAACCCACCTTTGTCACTTGAGGTTTGAATATGAGCAACTTTATGTAAGTGTCTTTATTTGTGGAAAAGGGTGTTTGCCTTAGCAGTGGGTCCAACTTTACACACACCAAATCCATCTGTGCTCATATGAGATAGTGTGGAGGACGCCCTCTGCAGCGCTTACAGTGACACTTGTTGAGGAGCTGCCTTCTGTCGCCATCTTGTGGCATTACTGTCTTTAGACGTCTCTTGATCTCTTTGACTACTTCACTAAAATTGTAAATCGCCTCGCCGATTGTGGATTTAAAGGCAAGGAGATCGGAGCTTATGTGATTGGTGAAAACAGGTCTCTGCTCTGTTAAACCCACTCCACACCCTCTCTCCTCCCTCGCTACGACTTACACCGCTGGGAGGAGCTGAGTTAGGGAGGGGGAATACTTACGCCGGGCTGCGCCGCTCACCAAAATACCAAATTGTGCTTGGGAATGCCTTGTCGGCGCGGCGGACCTGACTTACGCCACGCATGCTCCGCACCACCGGCGTCATCACTAATCTCTACATCAGATTTGTTGCTCCAGTGGTAGCACTTGAGCAGGGTGACTTGGTTTCACTATCTTTGAACTGGCAGCGTAAAAAGGATTGCATGTCTCATCTTAAGGAAGAAAACTGCATTCTCCTTAATTGTTTTAATGGGGATGAAACTAGTCTATACCACTTGGCTTTGGTCTTGTTACAACTTGGTCGAGTCAACAGGATACAAATCCAGAAATTAAATGCATATTCTCTGCCAACAATCTCAGCCTCATGGCAGCTCAAAGATAGATTTTATTCGTGCAGTAAATAATGAAATACCCAAGTTTCTTGTTTTGCATGATTTAAATTAATGGTAATTCTGTAAGTCAGGATTTCTAAATTTAAAACCTTTGTGGAATAGGACTTAATAAAATTGAGACTACAGTATAGAGTAGCATTGTGTAAATAAATAAAGTACCCCATCTAGAGAATCTGTGTGAAAAAATGATGTGGCTGTCAAAGGTAAACAAAGTTGAAAAAGCCAAGATGAGTTTTCCCTTTATTGTCATTCATTACAAAAAATAATGAGAGTAAGAGGCAGTCATCTTAGTTCTCAGATTTATTTTATTCAGCTTCATTTGATGTCATTTGCAGCAACATTCATCAATGGTTTTGCCGAGAGTGATTTCACAAAATAAACCTGGTTTCAGATTTTATTCCTTTGGGTCATTGTAATTCAAAACTGAACAGAGAAACAATTGAAAGATCATAAAGAAGAACAGACCAAAGTCCAAAAAGTTCAAAGTTGAGCTCTAAATTTTGAAACTCACTTAAATTTGTAGTTTTTAGTCTATGACTTGTTCCTCTTTCTAATATCAGCACTCAACTGTGAGGTAAATACATCAGCTGACAGCAGCCAATGAGCACCAATTTCTTACCCTACAGGATTGAATTTCGGTTCATGAGTCCACTTCAGTGCAAAAAAGTTGATGAGAGTGCTGCTTTTCAGTTGATTTCTTTGCTCAGTTTTTACTCTCCACCTTTTTTTAAATTTTTATTTTCCTTATGTTTCTGATGTCAGTGTTGAATGAAAACTTCTTTGGCCTTGCAAACTGACCTGGTCTTTGAGGTCATGATAACCGTCAGAAGCTCTCGATTGGTCTGACATGATTTCAGGAATCTGTGAGTTATTCCTTCTCTCGTGAAAGATGCTCAAAAGCACTGCATAGCACCATGAAAGGGTACAGATTTAGACCACATCGAGAGCTTCTGAAGGGGTAAGAGGGACCGCTCTCCTTTTTTAGTAGGCTCTCCTGAGACTGCTTGATGTTGTTGAGACTGTGGACTTGGTGATAGCACTACCACCACCATAACCGCCCATACCACCACCGTAGCCGAATCCACCACCGGAGCTGGCACTGGAGTATCCTGAGGAGAAAGAAATACAAGTGTTATCAGTTATTCATTAATCTATGTGGGGTCTCAGTATTAGATACAGTATGTTGATGATAATGTGTAGACTCTAAATCCTACCTCCAGAGGTCTGCTGGACATGGATGGTTGCAGATGCTCCTCCACTGGCCAACCTAAAGGATGATAAACAGAAAGTTAGTCTTCTATAAGAGTTAATACTAATACTGCAGCTATGAAACTACAAAAATTCAGAAGTTTATCCGACCTGCTCTCCTCTCCTTCCAGCAGTTTCCTGTAGGTGGCGATTTCAATGTCCAGGGCCAGCTTGACGTTCATCAGCTCCTGGTATTCACGCACCTGGCGGGCCATGTCCTGCTTGGCTCTCTGCAGAGCATCCTCCAGGTCCTTGATACGGAGCTTGGCATCTTTCACTGCCAGCTCACCACGCTCCTCAGCCTCGGCGATCTGAGCCTCAAGGTTGGCTCTCTGTTGAAATTAATATCAGCATTGTATTCTCCGAACCACTTCATACAATGAAGCTTTAGTCATTTGTTGTCATTCATTTACCTGTGACTTGACAGCCTCGATCTCATTCTGAAGACGGGCAATCATGCGGTTCAACTCAGCAATCTCAGTTTTAGTTGTGCGCAGGTCATCGCCGTATTGTCCAGCAGAGCTCTGCATCTCCTCATACTGTTTTGAAAAACATGACAGATTGCGTTAACCTCATGATCCTAAAGGTCTGGTTGGATTTTTCAAGTTTATGCTGATGACATAAAGCATGGTTGTCTTTATTGTTTCACTCACCTTCTGTTTGTACCAGGTCTCTGCCTCAGCCCTGCTCTTGTTGGCGATGTCTTCATACTGAGCGCGCACCTCAGCCACGATGGAATCCATGTCCAGGTTACGGCTGTTGTCCATCTCCACAATGACAGAGGTGTCCTTAATCTGGCCTTGCAGCTCACGGAGTTCCTACAGAACAAACAATTGTTGCACCATTAAACCCATTTTATTGACAAGTTGTATTATAGTGTTAAACAGTGGATAAAATAAACACTAGAAATACATACGGCTTCGTAAACAGCTCTGAGGAAGTTGATCTCATCTTGAAGAGCATCGACTTTGGCTTCCAGCTCGATCTTGTTCATGTAGGCAGCATCAACATCCTGACAAAGCATAAGGTCAGATTTGAAAAGTGTTAAAGTCACACTCTAATATATTTAAACTTGGAGTTAATGAACCCAGAGGTCGTTTTTTTTTTCTGTACCTTCTTCAGAAGCACAAACTCATTCTCTGCACCTGCACGTTTGTTGATTTCATCTTCATACCTGCAAAGCATGAGAGAAATCTAAATACATTTCCTTCATTTCAACCGTCTTACACCAGTTGTACTATTTGGTGATGTCTGATTTGGTCATGTATTACAGACACTCACTTTCTCTTGAAGTCCTCAACCAGGCCTTGCATGTTTCTCAGTTCTCCTTCCAGCTTAGACTTCTCATTGCCGAGCCCATCAAGCTGTCTGCGCAGGTTGGCGATGTAGGCCTCGAACATGCCCTCAATGTTGGAGCGGGTGGTGGTCTGTTCCTGCAGGAGGCTCCATTTGGTCTCCAGCATCTTGTTCTGCTGCTCCAAGAAACGGACCTGTGGAGACACAACACCAAGAGCAAGGTTGGCAGAGGTCGTAATGATGGGCATGGGTCAACATATAGTGGCTTGGTAGTGGTTTTATTAGTGTGATGTTTCAGTGATGCTTCAGCTGAATAGATTTTAAGTACATTGTATTCTTTCTTAAGTTAAAAGTAAGTGGTTAAAGGGTTTAAAGGTGTGTTTTATTGTATCTAGTTAAAAAGCTTGACCTTTTCCTGAAAGACTCATCAGATATCTCCATATCAGAACTGCCACACCCTGGTCATAACAATTGTAGCTCAAGGTGGCATTGGCTTACTTTTTCTGCATGCAGTTTTGGTAATCAAAATTACAAAAGGAAACTTCTAAGTCTTTATTTCTCATTGAATAAAAGGAGTGCTTTTTTTCTTCTTCACAACAATGGATGCAGTTCGTTTGATCTTGGTGTCTCACCAAAATCTGTATGTGGCTTTAAGGGTTTCACCCTTTGTTTCTTGAGCTATGACTCATCCTGTGTGTTCAGTTGAGCTATGAAGGCCACGCACTCAGTCTAGTCATAAAAAAAAAAAAAACTAGGTGTGGCAGATAAACCGCAGACGACAAAGCGGAGCAGCAACATGGGATAAGGGCTTTGTTTTGGGAGTGCTTTGTCTTAGTCTAAGTTCAGTATGTGTCATTATGCATTCAAAGATATATCATCCTACTCAAAAGCAAGTTTCAACACAGATCTGGGATTTGATCATAGAGATGAGAGAAAGTTGATTTCCTACCCTATACTTAGCATTCCTGTTGCCCTTGACAACCAGGTGATAGGTACAATGTGCAAATAATAGACTTTGGACTCTGTGGGTATAGTGCAGATACTGTAGATCCCTGTTCTCTCTACCAGTCTCCAGGTATTGCATGGGCGAGTCACTGCCATATAATCCCCACCCATGTTTAGATAGTGGGCAGAGAGGCTAAGACAGGAGTAAGGGCCAATTGTTGCCTTAGGTAAATTTAGGATGGGGCTGCTGGTGTCAGTCAGGGTCATAATCACACACAAGCTTTTAGATTTTATAAGCTTTACAGATCCTACAGGCTGTAACTCATTGATGAATATAACACCACAAAGATAAGATTCACTACTCTATTGCTTTGTCAGCTATGACAGCAAAAATGACCTCTTAACAGGTAGTGTATATCTGAAAGGCATATCATTACTGTTACTTTGCATTGATATATTAGAGTTTTAACTGTCGAGTCATTATGTTTGTTTAAAAGTTAAATGGGAAACTTATTGATACACATAAGACAGCTGTCAGATATAAGTGCAGAGATCTCATAGAGTCAAGAACTCACCTTGTCGATGAAGGAGGCAAAGCGGTTGTTGAGGGTCTTGATCTGCTCCTTCTCCTGAGTGCGGACAACTTGGATGGCGGGGTCGATTTCCAGGTTGAGAGGGGACAGCAGGCTCTGGTTGACTGTGACAGCTGTGATCGGTGGAGCAATTCCTGCTTGGCCGAAAGAACCACCACCACCCATTGAAGACATACCATAACTGCTGTAACTGCTTGGACCGGCACCAACACCATAACTGGTGGTCTTCTTTACAGAGTAGCTGCTTCCTGGCCCTGCAAAGGACCTCCTGGTGCTGCCGCCAGAGCTGGTGACTGAGTATGCCCTCCTCATTGGATTCATTGTGATACAAGTGGTTGTCGACTCTTAACAGAGAACTGAAGATGTGCAGGCTTCAAAAGGAGAGCCAAGTCCCTCTGAGTGTCAGACTGTGGAGTTAGCTTGCTTTTATGGCTGTGTGGTGTGAGGGGGAGGATCCACCTCAGTCAATTCAACCTGCACTCTCACTTTTGCTGTCCAGCCTCCTACCTCAGCCTACAAGCCTCTGGCTCTGAATGACAGGAGTGGCCAATCCTGTTAAACAGGTGGGGAGGGATTGTCAGGAGATAAGCCATAACACACCCTGCACCAAGACAAGCTGAAGGGGGACAGGTTGAGAGCTAGAGTTTGTGGAGTAAAAATGTTATCATAAAAAGTGATAAGTATATGAGTGTGTTCAGTCAGTTTCAGACTTATTTGTGATTCAGGGCTCTCTCTCTTTTTGTATCAGTTTTACCTCCCAAAACCTAAAATTAAAAAACATGTGAAAATAAATGTAGGACTCTCATTCCCAAAAGCTACAGGTGGCCTACAGATGCTTAGATTTTTTTTATAAGGTAGCAATATAAAGATACTGCTGACTTGGTGTTACCATGGTTCACTGAGTCACAAATTCTTGACAAAAGTGGAGAATCTAAAGTTAGGAGCCTCGATCTAAGCATTGGAATCTGAATAGTATTGGCCAATCATTTATTGATAGGTCAAACAGTCTGTTAAGGGGAAAAAAATGCAAGTATAATGCAGGATTTTGAGATGTCTCCAAACTTAAGACTATGTACTGCAGCTAAGGTGAGTAGATTTTGCTTGGACAAGAAGTGGTGACTTTCACTCCACTTTCGATCTGAACACACTGCTCAAGTTGTGAATTGGACTGTCAAGGGTGCAGAGCACAGAGAAGGAAGTCTTGGTTTAAAGTCTTTTACAGCAGACCATTGGCCACTCTGGAATGACTGCAAAGTTGGGCATGATTACATGATTACCAAAGCCATAGATTCTTGAATAGCTGATAGGACCAAAAGTTATGAGTTAGTTAGAAAAGTAATTATTTTATTAATTTGACAAAGTATTGGAAAATATAAGAGATAACCTGACTTCCTTCCTCCTCCTCTGGGATAACAGCACTTATGTGTGTTTTCCCTCAGGAGTATGGTGTAAGTAAGCTACACATAACTATAGTACTATTTGTGTGGGAGGGTGGGGGTTGAATTTACATAAGTGGAGGAGCTGCTATATCAACATCTGTTTTTGGTATTTTTTTGTGTTGTTGGCATGTATCTATGTCACATGACATTTCAGTGCTCACAATTGCACCTTTTGTGGTAACGTTAAGAAAGTCCTAGAATACTTTAGTGTATTGGTTTGGTGAATCCCACACTCCGCAGCTTTGATGTGGCTCAAAGCCACGACTATCCATGATTACTTAACTACCCAAGCTAATACCAAGAAAACTGTCAAAATAATTGATCAAATTCCATAAAACAGGATTGAACTCTTTTATGCCAATGCTTCTCTTTTTCTTTTTTTCACCATCATCAGGACTAGACTAGATTTCCACATCTGAATGATTCCAGTGTCTGTTTAGAGGATAAGTGGTGCTGTCTAGTAGCACCTCAGTGTGCATTTGCTGTATGCAGGAAAACTGCCCATGTGGAGAACAAAAGGAGCAAAGCTGTTTGTTCACAAACCATCACCTGGAACATACTCAAACAGATTGAGAATCAGCCAATAATCAGCTTTTAGACATTTTCTCTCACCCCTCTCACTTTTCAGGTCAGAGTGTAAACAAAGACAACAAACAGGACAGGAAGTTGTGGCTGATAGTCCTTTATTGCTGACCCCTCATTAGGGAAGGCTGGCTACTTTCAGAGGATATTGTTTCTAGATAAGCTGGATCCTAATTTGCGGTGGTGCCAAGACAAATCAGCTATGTAACATTTGTATTATTTGTAGTTATTTTTCAGGTGTCCATCTATAAGACCATAAATGTATCTTTTGAACTGGTATTTTTGAATTTGCAGCATAAATGAGTTTTATTCCGCTTCAGATAACACAGCCAAGCAGGGATTAGTGCATAAACTGCAATGTGGTGTTATTATAAGCAATTTATAAAAATTGCCTTAGGCTCATGTGTCATCTAAGTCTCAGTGTTTTAAATGCTGCCAAAAAAGTTGCCACTGAAATGTCATGCTTCAGGCTTTCAATATGTTTTGTCTCTGTAAGTGCCATTGGTCTAATCAAAACATTAATCACATGAATAGGATTATGTAATACATCTCCAGTGGTTGTTTCTTACTTGACAGACTGTACTGGTTCCCAGTCAAACTCTGCAGCACTTCGATCTTCCCTCTGCACCTTTGATGTAGGTGAGGCCTGCATTCCTCTTCATTCTTCCCCAACTTTTCACATGCACTTGCCTTTAATTTCTACCCTGGTGTGGAACTTTACTCTAAAGCTCAAATCTGTTCTGTCCAGAAACTATTTGGAGAAAATTTATGTTCAAGTTTTGCTTCTGTGAAACTCTGAGCAGATGCACAAAACTGAATAAGACAATTTTGTGACCATACGTTCATCAATAACCACCCAAACACACACATGCAGGTACCTGCATCTCTTTTACTGCTTTCTCACGATGGGGCATATTTTGACCCTAAAACTCCATGCACACGCATGCCAGTAAACACATAACAAAGATGGGAAAGAAGAGTGAGCAAACAGCTGATGAGAGTTGTCTCATCACAAGGAATTAAGATTAAAATCTGGCAGAGCTTGGGAATGGAGACATTTTACTGGAGAAGCAAGGACCATGGCCTAGTTAAAGTCCTGTTGCTGATGTAACTTGATGTAAGGTTGCAGTGGTGATAATGATACAATATGATATGGCACTCGTGTTATTTTTTCTGTCTGTATCATTGCTTGTCTGGTACTTATCCTCAGATCTACATCCCTTTTTTTCAGAGCAACTGCCACATTAACTTGTAACACTGTTCAGATTGACTGAAGGTACATCTGTGCCAGTTCAAAGTCTTGACCATCAACAACTTAAGCTTTGTCAAGCCTGCATTATCTGAAACAACCCTGAGATGCAATAGCTGCCTTACCACATCAAATTCTATGTCACCAGATGTGTGAGACAGGGAGATTGTTCTTTTGTACACATACATAAACCCTGGGTGATAATTCAAGATTCTGACATTTGTGGCAGGAGGGTGGGTGGGTGGGTGAGGGTTGTAAGTTCAAGAGACAATTCTGAGTCCACGTGTTAAGGTGTTGGCATTATTCCTTATGGGAATGTGAATTGTCTCAAACCCATTTGCCCTATTGTTGTTTTACAACCCCAATTTCAAAAAGGTCAGGGTGCTGTGTAAAATGCTGATTAAAAACTGTACAATTGTCTGTAAATCATTCCAACCATATATTTCATTAAAAGCTACTCTTAGACAACACATTGAAATCAAAGTTGATTGGGGTTTCCTTTGGTGTATTATTTTGTTAAATGCAATTTTTTAAGTCAGGACTGCAGGGAGGCCATAGCACTTGAACTCCTCAACTACAGAGCCATGCACAAAATATGTACTGTTCTGCATTAATGGTGCTTGGCAAGATAAGTTCCCCACGCCACAGGCACTTAGTGTGTATAAACTTCCTCCAATGCCGGCAATTTACCAGCATGCTGATGACAGGACAGGTGGTCACCCTCTTTAGAGCGGAGGATACAGTATCAATGATTTCCAAAAAGAGTGTCAATATTTTTTATTTATCCACAGTACAGTTTTCCCTCTGCCTCATTTTGTATTATAAGGGCTTGGGTCAGCAATTCTAGATCGGGTTTATGTACGATTTTCTCTTGCGGGGTATAGATTTCACTTTTGATGCAGTGACAAACTCTTTACCTCTGGGAGCGTCAGTCTATCTAGAGTGCCTTTTTTATGCCTTTTTCATATTATCACTAACTTGCTGCTAATTAAACTAACTGGTTGGAAAATGCTACTTATTTTGACATTACACAACCTTGAAGTGCTTTTTGCCCCTGACCCAGTTTTACTGTAATGTATTGCTGGTATCAAAGTTAATGTGAGCAGATATATTTTTTTCTTATTAAACATTTTTTCAGCTTCACCATGTGTTATATTGTCTCTGCACTGTTTATCCACATTTGACACAGGATCACAATTTGCTGAATGAAATCAAAGGAGGTGTATTGGTTTTGACGTTACAAAAGCCATCAATACAATGACCAAATAAAACAGCAACACCCTGTTTTTATCTACGTTTTCAAATTCTAATTTATACTTCTTTGGTTAATTATTTCTACATATTTCCTGTAATTTTATTGAAGAAGGTTTTTTTTGTTTGTTTTTTTCAAACACTAAAGTGCTATATTCTGAAGTACACCACCCTAAAAAGACATTTGATACCTTATCTTAACTTAACAAATGAAACTATGTAACCTGCCTATTAGTCTTCCCTTTTGTACCTCCGCAGTGTGAGTAAAGTGGGTGTGGTTCAGTTACTCTGGAGCGTTGGCAAATCATGCTTTTCAATATGAATGAGTAACTATGCAGGAAACTAACATGATACAGTTTCGTGAATGCGAATGCGTGAATGAAAGTCGTGTTCAGTCTGTAGGTGGATCGGGAATGTCTGCACCGCACGTCTACAGTACTGTCATTTGTGGTTTTACCTAAGATATCCTTTTTCCTCTCTGTGTTACACTGTATGATCTGATTGAAAGACTATACTCTGTCTTTAGCAAGTTGTTTTAATACTCAGGTTAGGTCAAAGGTCAAAAGACCCACAAAAAATCATGTGAAAGAGCTGATTCAAATTTACGTTGCAGCCTTAGACTTGAACTGTTTACATCAAATCACTTTTATTGAGTTCGGCTAAGTAAGGTTTTGTCAGGCTTGCAACAGCTGAATACTCTTGTGTGTTGTGATACAAAGAAGCAGTGACACTCACACAAACATAACCACACACACACACTTTTCATCATGTAACTCTGGGCATCCATCCACACCTGCCAATGGTACATACTGTAGCTTTTGTTATTTACTGCACATCATGTACATCAATGAAAACCCAGTTAATCACAGGGTGCTGCAAA